GTTTTAACTTGCTTTTATTGATGAGTTATATTTAAATATTCTTAACTCATTTCATATTTACTCATTTATGTCTGCCTGAAGGCATTGGGTTTATTGAGGGCATTAGAATGTTTTTAAAATGCTTTGTAATTTCTCTCCCCATCAGCTTCTACAATTCCTGGGGAGTGGGGGTGTGTCACTAAATATCAAGTGAAATTACCCATTTTACAAACTGGAGAATAGGTAAGAAAAAAATAAAACTAAATCACATAACAAGTGTGGCCAAAATCGAGACCAAAACCAGAATTATCTATAATCTGTAAATTCAACTCATTGCTAAGAGTGGAAATAGGCTCTTCAGTGACCTACTTTTGATGGTGGTGATGTCACACACCAAGCCTTTGTGTTGCCAACTGGTGCTATTTCGTTTATCTCAAAAGAGTCTGAAGAGTACCTTAGAAAGAAAGCTAGACTGGGAGAAAAAGGACTTGGGTTTCAGTCCCAGGTATGTTACATATCAGTTGGCAAAGTCGACTGAGTTTCAGTTTTGCTTAGTAAAAGGAGGAGGTGAAATAGATGATCTCTAGATTCCTTCCCACATTAAGGTACTGGAAATGATTCTGTGGTCCCAGAGCTGCATATTGTATGTATTCAAAGATGGGAAAGGTGGATGCAGACAGGAAAGATGAATTGAAATATTGTTTAAGATAGAACTTAGAGAAATGATTTTTTTTTCCCTGGGATATAAACCCAAAGATAACATTGAATATGAAAAATTCTAACATAGTTAGCTCTCCTTTGTCAAGTTCAGGGAAAGTCTGGATAATATTTTTGCTAAAGGATTATCCAAGTAGGTCCAGTAATTCAGAAGTTACTTGAAGACCTTGGCATATCTTACAGTCATTATTCATGTAGCACATCAGTCGACATAGATTCCTGAAATTAAAAATACTGGAAAGTTTCTTTTTGGGGGACCACGAATTTCTTATAACATTTTCTTTGAATACTCTGCCTATTGTTCATAAAGAGAAAGCAGGAATATGCAGACGGTAATTTCTATCCGGAATGCTGGCTAAAAAGATTTAGTTGATATACTGTGATATAAGCTAACTGAAGCTATTGTCTTAAGAATTCCTGCAAACAATATTGAAGAGAAAACCAAGCATTTAAATCCACAGAAAGTAACAGTGCGTATGTCTCAGAGGGTATGAAGAGCACCCTGAGCAAATAGAGAAGTTGTAGACAGGTAAAATACACTTGAAATGCAATAAAAAGCTGCTCAAATAGATGTGATATTTTTGAGGGTGAGTTATTAGCATTCATATTTGTTGCATTAGAAGATGTCCATTTCATCTTTTCCTCTTCCTGGGCTGCTAACCCTTCCCTGTCCACAGGTATTTTTTTTCCCAAGTTCATCCGTTAAGTGGGCATAGACAGTGTTGCTCTGAGAAAAGGTCCAAGTATGTATGTATATATGAAATATGAAATAGGATTCTTTCTCTGGGGGATGCTCCAAGAGAACATCACTGACTTTGGAAATCAGTCCATTTATACCCCTACACACACATTTCATGCAATGGAACACTATTCAGTGATCAAAAGGAATCAGAAAAAAAATAGGCTATTAATTCACAGAACAACCTGGATTAACCTTAAAAACATTATGCTAAGTGAAAGAAGTCAGACCAAAAGACTCCAGACTGTGATTTCATTCATATGATATTCTGGAAAAGGCAAAATAGTAAGGAGAGAAAACAGATCAGTGGTACCAAGGGTTTGGGGAGAAAGTAGTGTCCGACTAGGGGAAGCTTAAGAGACTTGGGGTTTGAGGAGACTAATCTGCATGGCACTGTAATGGTGAATACATGATGCTTTGTATTTGTCAGTACCCATAGAACTTTGCAGCACAAAGAGCACACTAATGTATGCAATTTTTTTAAGTCAACCAGGAGATCAGAGGATCCCAGGATGGAATGCAGACTGTGACTAAAGAGTCTCACTATAACGCATATCCAACATAACTTCATTGAAGGTGGGAGGATGGGAAAAAAGATGCTAACCTCAGTAACTTTGGAGAGCAGTGTTTTGAATGGAAACTAAGAACTGTGCATAAACACTGGAGTCTAGTTGACAGAGCTGTTTCTCATGTGGTATGGGTTAATATTCCAAAACTGCTGTACTGGGATTGAATAAGTAAATAAATAATAGATGCTGAAATCCAGGTTTTTCACTGTCACAGAGAGGGGTTACAGATAAGTAAGGGGAAAGCTAGAGTGAACCGTGTGATACTAGATGAGATTTAGAGACAACAGTATAAATGCATGTTTAGCTTAATATAGATACAGATGGATAAATATAACTACGGATGTGTGTATACATTGGTAAGTATATGTACATGCATTTTCTAGCTCTGTTCATGAGAGGACCTGGAAGCAGTGACACCCCATTAGCAATGAGCACACCCAGCACCCAAATTCTAGTTTCTAATATTATTATCCAATAAAAAGAACCAGGGCGCCATCAAGAAATGGTTGATTTTAGGGTAAGGGCAAGGAAAATACAGAGGAGCTTGGAGCATCTTATAATGCTAGAAAGTAAGAAAGTACTCAAAAATAAAAGGATGAGGGCTTATCAAAGGGACACAAGCTAGCCTAAAAGAACTCTTAATAACCAAAGCTGGAATAATTTGAGCAACAAAACAAATAATATTGTACTAGATTATAACCCAAAGTATAAGACGAATATCCCTGATTCCATACTGATACAAATAAATGATTGAATAAATAAGTAAATGGGGCTGATAGACAAGTTCCCTGTGCAGAAGAATTCTAAATACTTTACATAGATACCTTCTCTCAAGGAAATAGGGCTTGGCTCCCCTACCCTTGAGTATGGGCTGTACTTAGTGTCTTACTTCCAAAGAGTAAAAAATGGAAAGGGGAGTGGGTAGTATAGTATAACTTTACAATGTGGATACGTAGTAGATATTACCTCAGCCAGGTGATCAAGGTCAACATCATCAGTGATAAGCTGTATTGATGCTGTATACACTGGACATGATGTGCTGAAATTGGCATATTACTTTGTGGTCTTCCTCCTCTAAACCAATAACCCCAGTTTAACCATGAGAAAAACATCAGACACCCCTAGTTGAGGGGCAGTCTGCAAAATACCTGGCCAGTACTCCACAAAACTGTCAAGGTCATTAAAAACAACGAAGGTCTGAGAAACGGAAACTGTCACAGACGGGAGAAGACATGGTAAATAAATGTAATGAGATATGGATGGGACCCTGGAACACTAGGAAAAAACTAATGAAATCTGCATCAATTGTGGAGTTTAGATAATAGTAATGCAAGATGTTAACAATGGGGGAAGTGGGTGAGGGATATATGAGAACTCTGTATTCTCTTTGCAACTTCTCTGTTAACGTAAAACTATAGTTGACTCTGGAACAGCTGTTTTAAACAGTTTTGAACTGCGTAGGTCCATTGATATGCAGATTTTTTCAATAAATATGTACAGTACTATAAACATCTTTTTCTTATGATTTTCTAATAACATTTTCTTTTTTCTAGCTTATTTTATTATAAGAATACAGTATATAATAATCTTTTTCTTATGATTTTCTTAATAACATTTTCTTTTTTCTAGCTTATTTTAAGAATACAGTATATAATACATATAACATGCAAAATATGTGTTAATCAACTGTTTATGTTATTAGTAAGACTTCAGGTCAACAGTCAGCTATTAATAGTTAAGTTTTGGGAGAGTTGAAAGTTGTACGTGGATTTTTGACTGTGGAAGGGGTCGGTGTCCCAAACCTCCACGTCGTTCAAGGGTCCCCTATATTTCAAAATTTAAAAATTATTTTTTTAAAAAAAGGTAGAGACCAAAAGTATTAGTCTAGTACTTCAGGGGAGGAGGAGACAAAACCTTGTCTTTCACCATGAATAATTTGAGAAGCCTGATCTAGAAAAACATGGTCTAGGGTGACTTTGACTTTTTCTTCCAGTTTGAAATTCTCTTTGCGTCATACTAACTGAGATGATTTTAACTCCTTGCTACTTGCTTAGAGATATTTTTCTCTTAAAATCCTGGAAGTCTGAAGTCACAACACTTTGTTCTTTGATCTACCCCCATCATACTTTGCTGTAAATTTTGTCATTGTCAAGTTGCAGCTGACTGGCTTTATAAGTGGTTTGTGATTTCTTTCTGTTCCTGGTATTCTGGTGTTATTTGGATTCATTACAGGGAACATTTGGGCTTGTCAATTTGTCACCAGGATTCAGGTACAGCCACATCATCACTAAGCCACCCAAAATTCAACAATGATGATACAACAGAAGTGTGGACAGGACAAATATTACCATTATATACCTGATAAAAACATCACATTTGATCACAAATTACATCACACAAGTAATCTTCATGCTGCTCCCTATTTACAGTTCAGAAGGTTGTTTCCTCTTTCATAAAATCTGATAACTTCATTATGTCTTCCATAATAGGGTAAAAACCAAAAACTGCAACATTTCTGGGTATGTTAATATGCAAGTAAGAATGCTTACTGGTTTTGCAAATAATCTGGATTGTGAATGTAAAAAAATTTAATAAATATGCCCTTTAACAGTTATAGACTGTTAAAATTATAATCAGTAGCTTATGGTTAAAAGGTTAGGGTTTATTATTTACGTGGAGGAACAAAGGCAGGGGATTTCTTGTGAACTGATAAATAGGATAATGATAGTCTATATATTCTTCTAACTGGCTTTTTGATGTTTAATTGATCTCTATTGAGATAGGTAAGGAAAAAACTGAATTGTGAGATTATTGTTTAATATTTGATTTATTTCACCACTGAAATCAATCAACAGTGTTTTTAAATCATATTTTATGAAATGTTCCTGGGGTCTGTTTTCCTCTGGTTTAATGTGGATGGAGTAGGTGTGGGATACTCCATCAATTTGAAAGCCTGAAATGTTTTCTTTAAACAGTATTCCCTTTATTATTCCTAGACAATCGTTAGAGGAAACAAACCCTGCAAGGAAACCTCCATCAATGGCCTCCTGGAGGATTTTGACAACATCTCTGTGACTCGCTCCAATTCCCTGAGGAAAGAAAGCCCGCCCACTCCGGACCAGGGAGCCTCCTGCCATGGTCAAGGCCACCGGGAAGAAAATGGCTTCATCACCTTCTCACAGTATTCAAGCGAATCTGATACCACTGCTGACTACACAACCGAAAAGTACAGAGAAAAGAGCCTCTATGGAGATGATTTGGATCCGTTTTATAAAAGCAGCCATGCGGCCAAGCAAAATGGGCACGTAATGAAAATGAAACACGGGGAAACCTACTATTCTGAGATGAAGCCTTTGCAATCCGATATTGCCAGATTTCCCGTCGATTATCACACACATTTAGACTCACTGAGCAAACCAAGTGAATACAGTGACTTCAAGTGGGCGTACCAGAGGGCCTCCAGCAGCTCCCCGCTAGATTACCCATTCCAGTTTACGCCTTCTAGAACTGCAGGGACCCGCGGGTGCTCTAAGGAGAGCCTGGCGTACAGCGAAAGTGAATGGGGCCCCAGCCTGGATGACTATGACAGGAGGCCAAAGTCATCGTACCTGAATCAGACGAGCCCCCAGCCTGCCATGCGGCAGAGGTCCAGGTCGGGCTCGGGGCTCCAGGAACCGATGATGCCCTTCGGAGCAAGTGCATTTAAAACCCACCCCCAAGGACACTCGTATAACTCCTACACCTACCCTCGCTTGTCCGAGCCCACAATGTGCATTCCAAAGGTAACGTTCACTGCTTCCTTTCCTCCAGTGAGCAGGACTCTCCATGAAGGTGGTGCTAGTGCAACTTTCTTATACAGTCAGTCTAAAGTGCTGATTTGCCTTTTAAGTGAAAATCCATATCGGAATTTTATCCGATTTCCATCCATGAGCCCCAAGGGCAGAAAATTTAGGGCAAGACGCATTTATTCATTAAAATCAAAGTCTTTGGGGATCTCCTATGGGGTTTCTGGTTAAAAGGCAAAATGCCTTGTTTATTTGAAAGATAGTCTGATAAACTGATGATAACTATAATGTGCTCATATTGTTCTAAGTTCTCTGTTATGGAGTGTATGGTTGTAGACCATCAGATGGAATAATACAGTGGTTCCTGCATTCTGGCAAAATTTACTTGGATCTGCTGAAAAGGAAAAAAAATCAGGATAATATGGTAAGTTTTTAATAAAATTAATTTTATTCAACTCAAGGGATTATTCTTCATTTTGAGAGTATGTTCTTTCTACTATTTTGGTGTTGAAATGTATGAAATTCTGAAATGATAGAAGTTGGTTGCTGGACCTTTTTCAATGTGCTTTTTATTTTGTTTTGTTATAGCTCCTCTCTTGGTAAAACATTTTTTAATGCTTGCTGCTGCAAATTTGCTTTAAAATTTGGTTCGTTCTAGAAACTCCAAAGTTTGGGGACCACAGTTAGAGAAATTACTGAACCTAAAAGCATAGACTTTGCAAAATACCTTGGAGAGTGTGCAAGTGGTTTATTTTCCTATGGTAACTTAGAAATGTTTTTGCTACCCCACCTGTATAGCAAAGTGAAATCAGGAGCATTTAGTGAGGAGCTGTGGATTATATAGCAGTCTCAAACCAGTTGAGAGGAACATGACTTCTAGTAGCGTGATCGTGTACTTTTGTACCAAATGCTCTCTCTTCAATAGCTTGATGGGCTGCACAGCAAACTCTGGAAGGCAAGCCTGCCTGTATTCATCTGCCTTATTAATTGTAAATAGTCAGTATTTTTCCGTTGCTCATTATTTCTCATAAAGCCAATCTAAGATGTAGAAGAGAAGTCTTTTAGGGACATACTGGGAATGACTCTTGAGCCATACTTAAAAAAAAAAACAAAAACAAAAACAACAAGCTGTCACATTAGTTCCCAATATATAAAATTAAAAATAAATTTTGAGGAAATAAAGACCTGAGATATATACCTCCAGTTAAAACTTAAATATGGAAGTGATTTTCGTTTCACTGTGTTATTTATTTGTACTCCCACAGTCAGAGTATCCTGACTGCCTTTACTTCCTTTGTTCTTGCCACGGCAGTTGTTGGGAAGAGATCTCACTGACCAACAGACACAAGCTGTGTGAAGCCATATGCATGTATCATGATGCATGAGATAGTTCGATTTCCTGTGCATATCACTTGCTTGAGGGAAGCCCTTCCTAGTTCTAGAGGGAAATAAAGGAATTAACACATTCGTACCTGAATCTAGTTACATCCTCAAATTTTTGAACATAAGTGTTTATCAATAAAAAATGTGATTTTTTTCAACTTTATAGAGGTATAATTGACAAAATTGTAAGATATTTAAAATAGACTTGAAATATGTATAAGGATTGTGAAAGGATTCTCCTCTGAGTTAATAAGACATCATCCCCTCACATACAACGTTTTTTTAATGAGAACATTTAAAATTCTACTCTCAGCAGATTTCAGTTATACAGTACAGTTTATCAACTGTAGTCACTATGTTATACATTATATCCTCAGCCCTTATTCATCTTATAACTGAAAGTTTGTACCCTCTACCAACTTCTCCCTTTTTCCCCACTCCCAAGTTCCTGCCAACCACTTTTCTGCTCTCTGTTTCTATGAGTTCTGCTTTTGAAAAAAAGATTCCACATAATAAAGAAGTTATGGTTACACACACGCACACAATGGAATATTACTCAGCCATAAAAAATGAAATTCTACCATTTGCAATGACATGGATGGACCTAGAGGTTATTATGCTGAGTGAAATAAGTCAGACAGAGAAAGATAAATACCATAATGGTCTCACTTATATGCAAAATTTAAGGAACAAGAGGAATAAACTAAACAAAAACAGGCTTCACAGATACAAAGGACAATCTGGTGATGGCCAGAAGGGAGGGGTAAAAAAGGTGAAGGGATGGGCAATGGGTAAAAAAGGTGAAGGGATAAAGAAGTACAAATTACTATTACAAAATAGTCACGGGATATAGAGTACAGCAAAGGGAATATAGTCGATAGTATTGTAATGGCTGTGTGTAGAGCCAGATGGGTACTAGAGTAATCGGGGGATCACTTCATAAATTATATAAATGGCTAACCAATGTACTGTATACCTGAAACTAATAAAAAATGTTAAAAATTTTAAAAAAGATTACACACATAAGTGATACCATACAGTATTTGTCTTTATCTGTCTTATTTCACTTAGCATAATGCCCTCCAGTTTCTTCCATGTTGTTGCAAATGGCAGGATTTCCTTCTCTTTTAAGGCTGAAATATATTTCATTGTATATATATTTTCTTGATCCACATTTTCTTGATCCATTCATCTGTTGACGGGCACATAGATTGTTTCCATACCTTGGCTATTGTTAATAATAGTACAGTGGGCATGAGAGCATAGATATCTCTTCCAGGTAATAGATAAGATGGAATTTATATTTTTATTTATTTTTATTTTTTATATATATGTAGTGTATATAGTGTGTATATATGTATATATATATAATGTGTATATATATGTGTGTGTGTGTATAATTTTATTATAGTGACATTGGTTAACAAGATCCAGTGGTTCAGGTGTACAATTCAACAGTAAGGCATATATATATTGCATTGTGTGTTCACTGCCCATAGTTAGATTTCTTTCTGTCACCACATATTTGACTCCTTTTACCCCATCTACCTTAACCCCTCCCCCCCATCCTCTGGGGGGGAGGGGGGAGGGGTTAAGAGACTCCATGTCCATGAGTCTCTGTTTGTTGCTTTTAGGTTTATATCCCACATAGAAGTGATATGTGGTTTTCAACTTTGTCTAGCTTATATCACTTAGCATGATTATCTCAAGCTCCATCCATGTTGTTGCAAATGGCAGTATTTCATCTCTTCTTATGGCTTAGTAATATTCCATTGTATATATGTACCACAGCTTCTTTAGCCATTTATCTATCGTGTGACACTTTGGTTGCTTCCATGTCCTGGCCATTGTGAATAATGCTGCTATGACTATCAGTGTGCAAATATCTTTTTGGATATATGTTTTCAAGTCTTTGGGGGTAAATACCCAGTATAGGGATTGCTGGGTCATATGGTAGATCAATTCTTAGTTTTTGAGGAACCTCTACACCGTTTTCCAAAGTGGCTATACCAATTTGCAGTCCCACCAGCAGAGTATGAGGGTTCCTTTTTCTTCGCATCCGCTATTTTTAATTTCTTGAAAAACCTCCTTACTATTTTCCACAATGGCCATACCAGTTTACATTCCCACCAACAGTATACAAACGTTCTTTTTTCTCCACAGCTTGCTAGCATTTGTTATCTCTTGTCTATTTGATAATAGCCATCCTGGCAAGTATAAGGCAATATCTCATTATGATTTTGATTTATATTTTCCTAAAGATTAGTGATGTCGAACACCTTTTTATGTACCTGTTGGCCATTTGTATGTCTTTAGAAAAAATGTCTATTCAGGTCTTTTGCTCATTTTTAATTGGGTTATTTGGGTTTTTGTGGGGAGTTTGCTATATAATTGTATGAGTTCTTATATATTTTGGATATTAACTCACCAGATATGTGGTTTGTAAATACTTTCTCCCATTCCATAAGTTGCCTCTTCATTTTGTTGATGGTTTCTGTTGCTGAGCAGAAGCTTTTTAGTTTAATTTAGTCCCACTTGTTCATTTTGCTTTTGTTGTCTTTGCTTTTGGTGCTTGATCCAGAAATTATTGCCAAGACTGATATTGAAAAGCTTATTCTCTATGTTTCCTTCTAGGAGCTTTGTAGTTTCAGGTCTTACATTCAAGTAATAATCTTTAATCCATTTTGAGTTGATTTCTCTGTAGTTATAAGGATCCAGTTTCATTCATTTACACATGGCTATCCTGTTTTCCCCGCACTATTTATTGAAAAGACTATCCTTTCCCCATTGTGTATTCTTGGCTCCTTTGTCAAAAATTAATTGACCATGTATGCATAGGTTTATTTCTGGGCTCCCTATTTTGTTCCACTGATATATATGTCTGTTTTTATGGCAATACTATACTGTTTTGATTACTATAGCTTTGTGATATAGTTTTAAAGCAAGAAATGTGATGCACTTGACTTTGGTTTTTTCCTCAGGATTCCTTTGGCTATTCAGGGTCATGATTTGTGTGTGTGCGGTATATTTGAACACTTGTTTTAGGGAGCTGTTTTAGGTCATGATCATAGAGAAGACTTTGTCCAGAAATTGTAACCTTTCAACCATGGAGCCTTATTTGGCACGATGACATGTTTAGCCCACCCAGGAGTCATTTCCAAATCTGAAAAATCAAGATATTTCACTTAGAAGTCTCCACTTCTGGGTTTCAGGTTTCTCTTGGAAAAAAAAAAGTGGTGGGGGGCAATCTGGTATCTCTGGGCCCACATTTTCACATAGCAATGGAAATAGCTATAGGTAAAGGCTGCCCACTAGAAGGGACAGGCCCTGCCCAGCCCACTTCATTTATTTTTCCTATTAGCTTAATACCTACATGCATTTTGGGATTTAACATAACCACCAGCAACCCCTGCCCGCTCATTTCACAGGAGGGAAACCGTTGTCCAGAAAGTCAGATGGCACACTTAAGGTTTCATAGTCAGTTGATTACAAAACAAAGATAACAATTCTGGTCTTTCTCCTAAATTTAGTATTTTTCCTATTATATGGGCATATGTTATTTCCGGAGTTCAGTTGCATTTGTCAGTGAAACACATGAGACCACTGAACAATGG